TGTAGAAAAGAGTCCGGCAGCCTTGTGTGCCGCTTCAGCGATGGGCGGGGGGGGGGGGGGGGGGCCGACCCGGGGGGGGGGGGTGGGCGGAGTGGGCAGATGGAGGGCTGGGGGCGTCTGGGTGGTTTTCTGCAGCGGAAGTACCAGAGGAGATTGTGTTCCCTTTTGCACTTGGTACCAACGTCAGCTGATGATTTCTCAACTGTCTCAAATGTGTAGCAAAACTACCCAGAGGAACAAGCAGATAGCTATGGGGAGGAAGAAATTCAACATGGATCCCAAAAAGGTAAGCAGACATTCTGGTTTTCTGGCCTGCAAGAGATTGAGTGATTCATCCATTTTAATGGTTCTCTCCTTCTGGACAAAGGTGGTCATACCCTCATAAAAATACTGAGTGATGTTAAATTTTTATCACGAAGGGGCTGCTAGTGAGTTGGGGGGAAGCAAAAGTGCCCATTGACCTGGTGTCTGGGCCCAAAGACCTTTCTTTGCGCGTGAGGCTCAGGGTGAGGACGGGCCTCCTGGGAGTGGCCAGCGTGTGTGGGCCTCACGGGGGCCAGGCTGAGAGGTGGGGGTCTTCCTGCTGACGTACAGCCTGAAGCCCGGGGTGGGGGTGTGGGGGGGTGCTTGGTCAGCCAGTGGGCAGGGCTGCAGCTGGTGTGTTGGGTCTGGAGAGGGGGGTGGGTGTTCAATCGTTTACCTCAGAGGACTTGATTCCTTCCATTCACCTTCGAGAGAGAAGATGTCTGCCTGAGACTGAGGAACTCTCCTGGTTTAAGCCACTACCTGGTGTTTCCTCAAGTTGGATTTTCTAGGAAAACGCCTGAAGAAGATGAAACCTTCAACACAAAGTTGCTTGTCTCTGAGGGTGAAATGAAATTGTCAGTGGGAATGATTTTGTGAATTTGATAATGCTTGAGGTTTGGAGTTAGAAGCAGTTTTGTTTTTTCCCTTAGGAGTTAGTTGGGTTTACAGAGTTGACTTAATCAGATTTGGTAAGCAGTGGAAACATCTTGAGCGATACATCACTTGTTCTAAGTTATAGCACATGATAGCATGCCAATACGTTCATGGATGAATTCAGGTCCTCTGCACAAAGGACACACAAATACACTTATTAGTATTTTTTTAAGTTTGTTTATTTTGAGAAAGCAAGAATCCCAAGCAGCCTCTGCACTGTCAGCGTGGAGCCTGATGAGGCGCTCGAACTCAGGAACCGTGAGATCATGACCTGAGCTGAAATCAAGAGTTGGACCTTAACTGACAGGCCACCCAGGCGCTCGCAAATACGCTTGTTTATTTAATTAATTAATTTAATGTTTATTTATTTTTGAGACAGAGACAGAGCACGAGTGGAGGAGGGTAGAGAAGGGGGGGTGGGTAGACACAGAATCCGAAGGATCCTCCAGGCTCCAAGCTGTCAGCACAGAGCCTGACGCGGGGCTCGAACTCACGGACTGCGAGACCATGACCTGAGCTGAAGTCCGACGCTTAACCGACTGAGCCACCCAGGCGCCCCAAATATGCTTATTTTTTTAGTGCTGCTGCCACTCTGCAGGAGTTCTGTCAGGTTCTTGCCTGTGTCCTTGTTCTACGTGTTCCGGGAATCAGAGTTACGGTAATAAGGGCAGACGTAGATTGAACTTGGCACGTGTCAGGAACTGTCTAGCACAGCACTGAATTAGTATACTTAACCTTATGGGGTAGGTTCCATTTTTAATTCCTGTTTCACAGTTGGGGAAAGTGAGGCACAGAGCCACTGAGACTTGCCTAGTGTCTTGAGCAAGGAATCCACTTGAGACTCAGGCCCATAACCACTGCACTTAGCTCCTGCAGGACTCTGGGGTTGGTTTGTGGGTAGCCCTGAGCCCAGCTGGGAGGTCCCAGAGCCCTGGTCAGCCGTGTGGATCTGTCCACGTCCACGGAGGGGTGCTCACCTGCTTTGCTTTGGCTGTGGCGAGTTGCTCTACAGGCTTCATTTTGTGTACATAACTCTTCACCTGAAGGATTTTTAAAATATTCATCATGGGTTCTGTCCAACAACTTATTATGTTGCTCAGTAAAGGCAGATGGCAAATTTAGTCTATATGTGGTCTTTTGCGGGGAAAAATTATCAAAGTTCCCTGGTTTGGTAGATGATTATAGCACTTCCCTGAGTCCACTGAGTCGGCTTGGGCCGCCATAACCAAATACCGTAGACTGGTGGCTTACGCGATAGACATTTTCACAGTCTGGATGTTGGAAATCGGATCAGGATGCCAGCGCGGCCAGGTTCTGGTGAGAGCTCTTCTCCTGACTTCAGACGGCCGCTTCCTCACTGTGTCCTCACATGGTGGAGAAAACGCAGGAGAGAGCTCCCTGGTGTCTCTTCCTACAAGGGCACCAGTTCCATCAGGTCGGAGCCCTGCTCAGATGACGTCATCTAACTCTAATTGCCTCCCAGAGGCCCCACTTCGTGACACCATCACTGGGGGGGGGGGGGCGGTTAAAGCTTCAAGATTGGAATTTTTGGGACACACACACACATTCGGTAAGAGGAGAAGTTGATTCAGTCAAGGAAGCTGGAGACATTCGCCAGCCTCTCTCTTTTATTCGCAGTTTCCTAGAGATGCCTTTAAAAATATAACGTATAAATCTATAACAAGCACGAGTTCACCTAGTGGACTAGAAGTTGAGGGAACCCAGAAAGACAAAAGATGAACAGGAGTCCAAAGTATACTCAGGAAAAATTGCTCTGGGAAGGGAGAGCCGTGTCGGGTTCGGCTCCCTTGGGCGGCAGGGGTGGGTCCTGGGACCATAGAGGGGACATCCAGACTGTTTGCCCTGGCTGCATTTGCGGCAGGCGGTGACATGTGCCCCCAGGTGGGAGAGCAGGCGTCTCTTCTCGTCTGGCCTCACCGAGGAGGAGAAACCCCCACTCCCAGAGACCAGTTTCTGAGCAGCCCCCCGGGCCCGTCACCCACTCCGGAAACCAATGGCGTTTGGTTTGGCCACCGGAGAACCTTCGGTACAAAGGTGAACGCGCAACCAGGAATCACCAAATGTACAAGCTGCTTGACCTCGTGAGAGAGACGTGAAACTCCAGGAACAGAACCAACATAGAATGTTAAAAGTAGAGCAGTTTTGTGTATTATACATCGCATCAGAGATGATAGCGTGTTGCTTGTCCTCAGTGCAAAAACGGAGTTGTGGAAAAGATCTCCGCCATCTCCGCAAAGCCTGACATGGGGCTCAAACCCCCGAACCATGAGATCGTGACCTGAGCCAAAGTCGGACCCTCAGCTGACTGTTGAGTGAAGAATGACACCCTTAGAAACCTGTGGCACGGAGCAGGGATGGGGCCACGGGCAGGCTGGGCCGTGGCGCTACGTGGTTCTCTCCGGAGCTCTGGGCAGGTCCGCAAGATTGGGGAGCATGTCGGGCAGCCCCGCTTTCATCGAGCAGAAGTCCCAGGAGGAGAGAACAGAAGCCAGAGTGGAGGATGTATTTCAAAGAAATACTGGAATATTTCTGAACTAGATTAAGATAAAACCCTCAAATTTAAAGGGCTCACTGTAGGCCAAGCAGGATAAAGGTTTAAAAAACTTGTACATAGAAATGTCAAGTAAAATGCCAGGAAACTTGTGGATAAAGAGAAAATCACTGGCTTTCCAGGGACGAAAGACCAGATTAAGAAGAAAGGAATCACAACAGCAACACAGGATAAAAGACAGCAGGGAGGAGGCGGGACTTAAAACCTAGAATTCTGTGTATCAAGACTGTTGCCCATGAGGAGACCAGTGAGGACACTTCAGATACGCAAGAACTCATGAAAGTAACCGCAAGGACCTTCTGGGAGCAGTGCACCTGGAAAAAACCACGAATCCAAGAGCAGCTGCAGGACCAAGCGGAACAGACGCAGAGAAGCCAGCAAACGTTCAGTTAAGTCTAAGTGAGAGATTGGTGAAGGAGTATTTTCAAACCAAAGGCCTAGATTATCTCCATACGGTTCACCCTTGAACAGCACGGGTTTGAGTGCAAGGGTCCAGTTAACACCTGGATTTTTGTTTTCAGTACGTACAGTTCAGCCCTGTGAATGTATTTTCTCCCCATGAATTTCTCAGTGACATTTTCTTTTCTCCAGCTAACTATGCTAAGACTGTTGTTATGATATCGTAACCTTGTGATACTATTGTAGGAATATAGTACATAATGTATATAAGGTATAAAATGGGTTAATTGACTGCTTATGTTATCGGTAAGGTTTCTGGTCAACAGTAGGCTTTTAGTAGTTGGGTTTTCGGGGAGTCCAAAGTTACGGGCCTCCTGGTTCATTCAGTCAGTTGAGTATCCGACTTCAGCTCAGGTCATGATCTCACGGTTCATGGGTTTGAGCCCCGTGTTGGGCTTTGCACGGACAGTGTGGAGCCTACATCGGGTTCTCTGTCTCCCTCTCTCTTTGCCCCTCCCCCATGCACATTTTTTCTCTCTCTCAAAAAAATAAGCAGTACAATTTTTTTTTTAATTTAAAAGTTACTTGCAGGGGCGCCTGGGCGGCTCAGTTAAGCATCCACCTTCGGTTCAGGTCATGATCTCACGGCTCGTGAGTTTGAGCTGTGCGTCGGGTTCTGTGCTGACAGCTCAGAGCCTAGAGCCTGCTTCCGATTCTGTGTCTCCCTCTCTCTCTCTGCCCTTCCCCAGCTCACTCTCTGTCTCTCTCTCTCAAAAATAAATGTTTAAAAAAATCTTTTTAATTTTTTTAAATGTTTATTTAACTTTTTGAGAGAGAGGGAGAGAGAGAGATCATGAGCAGGGGAAGGGCAGAGAGAGAGAGACACACACACAGAATTGGAAGCAGGCTCCAGGCTCCGAGCTGTCAGCACAGAGTCCGACACAGGGCTCGAACCCATGAACTGTGAGATCATGACCTGAGCCGAAGTCAGCAGCTTAACCGACTGAGCCACCCAGGTGCCCCTAAAAATCTTTTTTAAAAAAGATTTATGCAGACTTTTGACTCTGTGGAGTGTTGGAGCCCCTAACCCCTGCATTGTTCGAGGGTCAACTGTATATACGTAGCAAGGGAGAAGGGAAGGAGGGAAGTAAACGCTGGCCAAGGTGTTCTAGATGTTCACAGCTGAATATGAGTTTAAAGTAAAATTTTAAGGGGCGCCTGGGTGGCGCAGTCGGTTAAGCGTCCGACTTCAGCCAGGTCACGATCTCGCGGTCCGGGAGTTCGAGCCCCGCGTCGGGCTCTGGGCTGATGGCTCAGAGCCTGGAGCCTGTTTCCGATTCTGTGTCTCCCTCTCTCTGCCCCTCCCCCGTTCATGCTCTGTCTCTCTCTGTCCCCAAAAATAAATAAATGTTGAAAAAAAAAATAACTTTAAAGTAAAATTTTAAGAGGAACCGCCAAAAACAGGGATAAGGTAGGATTTCTGACTTATTCGGAAAATTTGAATACAGAAAACTTGAATTCAACAGAAGGCTGAAAAGCATAAGTGAAGGCTCAGGAACGAGTGTATCAAATCCATAAGCCCCAGAAGTTTGATTTGGCCCCGTGACCTCTTACAAGCACCTTCACATTAGGTTAAAAGGAAAACAACAATAAAGTCCAGGCATGTTCTGATTGAGACACACATTGAGAGCAGAAAGTGCCCAGGTTGAAAATAAGGAAATAGGGAGAGATGGGGTAGGTGTAATGGGTTGAATGGTCCCCCCCCCCCCCGCCTTCAGTAGATTCTACTGTTTGATTTTCTAAATAGTATTTTGAAACATTCATATTATCTAATAATACTAGGACATTTATTAGTATTGGCCTACTGTATTCGGGTCCTGGCTGCTAGAATAAATGGCCACAGACTTGGTGGCTTAAAACAATAGAAATGCGGTGTCTCACAGTCCCAGAGGCTAGAAGTGTGAGGTCCGGGTGTGGGCAGGTCAGTTCCTTTCAGAAGCTCTGATGGAGGGTCTGCTCTGTGCCTTCCTCCCAGCCTGTGGCGGCTGCCAGTGGTCCTCGGTGGTCCCCCGGCTTGTGGACCCATCGTTGTAGTCTCAGCGTCCACGTCACATGGATGGTGATGCCTCCCCTGCCTTGTACGAGGACGGCTTCTGTGTCTTCCTCCTCTGCCTCTGGGTCTGGTTTCTCCTGAATAAATGCTCTCTTTGACTCGAGCTTTTGCTCCATTTTCTCTTACTAGTCGCTGGCCTGGGCTTGCCCCCATTGTCTCCGTGTTTTCCGGTGCCTCTTGCAGAGGGAGCTGGAGCTTGACTTGGGGCTCCTCTGGCGCCTTCTGTACCCTTGAAGTGCAGACAGGATTACCTTGTTCCGAACCTACTTGCTCTTCTCAGATCCCAGTTTTTGAGGCTCCTCCCTGAGGACCTTCCTAGTGCTGGAATTGTAGGGCAGGTCATGAGCAGCTCTGGAGAGCTTATCACCAGGCCCAGCAGCATAGACGGATGGAGTGCCCGGGACCTCGCGACTGCAGAAATTGCTGGGCCTATGGACTCTGGGGGCTGCTGGGAGGCTGAAGAGAGTGCAGGGCTGGACGGATACAGGACCCTCTCAGAGCCATGGTCCCACCAAGGTTGTGAGGCACAGTAGCACGGGCAGAAGGGAGGTGGCCACGGGGAACTGGCTGCAAAACAGCCTGCAGCTTGCGGTTTCAGAACCGCGGGCCACCACCCTGGCCACCGTCACAGCCACAGTGGTCATGAAACACTAGGCCAGGGATGTCGCTCCAGATGCCAGCCAGGCATACCCCAGGGCGCATCTGTTTGTGCCAGTCCCTTGGTCCCAGGATCTTGGGCTCCTTTGGATGCTCTCTGCCCCTGTTCTTGCAGTTTGGGGGGGGTGTGGGATCTACCAGTTGCACCCACAGCCAGTCTGTGAGTCCTTGGGACATGGAGTCCAGAGAGGCAGACCAGGGCAGCTGTGGCCTCTGACCTCTTTGCCAAGGACGTTCGGTCAGACAGTAAACCTCTACCCTGCCGCCCAGAGCTCCCCTCCCATCCACCACGCTGCCGCACCTGCCTCACCCTGGGTGCTGGGTTCAGATGGCACTTGGGGCGATGAGATACCAGCGTCATCACTTTCGTCCCATAGCTTGTTTTCTGGGGACCTGGTAGGACAGGTGCACACTTGGGACTGGAATGCTTTGTTACGGTATGTGCATGTCTTCTTGCTCAGGAGACGGTACCCAGGGGGTCTGTGCTCGCTTCAGCTCCCACCAGAAATAGATGAGAGTTAATTTAGGATAGTCAGACACACTGAGTTTTTGGTAAACTTTTTTATTTTCTGAAGAACAGCATATGGTGCGCAAATTTTGAGTGCACAGCTTGACGAATTCTTACAAATTAAAATTCTCGTGTGACCCAGAGCAAGATGTGGTTGGGGGGCATTAGGAGTGTCTGTCTGTGTCTCCTCTTGGTGAGTGAATTCCACTCTGTCCCCACAGAGCAGGGTTGCTTGTCTTGAACTTGATGTAAATGGCATTAAGGTCCTCTCTGTGTCGTCCTTCTACTCCGGATCACGCCTGTCAGATTGTTCCATGTAGTGCGTTTGTTCTGTCTCACTGCTGTGTAGTGTTCCATCATATGGAATCTACCAGAATAGGTTTCTCTCTCCTCACTGATTGGATGTTGGGTTGTTGCCAGTTTTGGGGAATTCTAAATAAGGCTGCTATGGACATTCACGTGTTTGAAAAACTAAGACTTCAGATGGACCATGTGGTGGGGCGTCTAGGTGGCCCAGTTGGTTAAGCACCAGACTTCGACTCAGGTCATGATCTTGGCATTTGTGGTTTCGAGCCCCGTGTCTGACTCCGTGCTGACAGCTCAGCACGGACCATGTGGTGTGAGGGAGCCCAGGTCCCAGGCACTGAGAGTTTCATCTGGAAAATCACCTCCGAATCTGTAGCACAGAGATGAGAGAATTCCCTTAAGAGCTTTGCCGGCATGGATCTCGAAATCAGCTCAGAAGCTGTGTCCGAGGTAAAATTTCAGTATTATCAGAACTTTTCCAGGATGAGCACAACTAATTCAGTCTTATCAGGACTTCTCCGGGATGAGCAAGGCTAATTTGGGCAGAGCAGCCCCTCTGCAGTCTTTCACTTAGACGTCGTCACCTGTGCCCTTTAAGGCCTTCAAGCGGGCATGAATTTTCAGTGGCTTAGACTCGGTGGCCCAGGGATCAGTGAACACATTCAGCCACAGCCGACAGAAAGTCTTGTAAACACAGCTTGCACAGCGCACTGTTTGCTCACACAGCAGAGGTGGCTGCAGTGTGACAAGTGGCTCCCAAGTGTCAGGACCCAGGCCCTGTGTTGGTCCGGGCCTTTCCCTTCGTCCGGTGGCCGTGACGGTTCCGGCCATCACATCTGCATTCGCAGCAGGAAGGAGGAAGAAGGAGCGGTGTCTGCTTGTGAGCCCCTTTTTATCAAGAAGGCACCACCTCCCCCAGGTCCTCCCTGCAGACTGCTTTCTGACCAGATCTGTCAGTTCTAGTTACAAGGTCACAAGGTCACTTCTAGTTACAAGGGAGGCTGGGAAAGTGATTATTTAGTGAGGAAAGGCAAGGAAAAAGGGGAGCTTTGGAGGGCCTGGCTTGGCTGACCACGTACAACGCGTTCCTCTTGTGCACACACGGCAGATTTGTTCTTCTGAGCTTGGGAAATTCAGTGCTGTTATTACCTCTGCCTTTAAAATCTCTAAGAACTTCCTTGTAATGGTTTGTCCAGCAACCTGTTTATTTGCCTTTTAGCCTGTTAAGTTTCCAGGAGGAATGAACTTGCTTTTCTCTGGTGGACACAATGTCCTATGGGGTGTGAGTGAGAATCCGAGCGTGCTGTTATTTTTGCCTGGCCCAGCCGGTGAGATCATCACTCTAGATGTCTCTCTGTCTTTGCAAAGGAGTCTGGGCGACCCTCCTAACGAGAGCTTCCTTCCTTATGTTCTTCAGGGAATTCAGTTTCTAATAGAGAATGACCTGCTGCAGAGCTCCCCAGAGGACGTGGCCCAGTTCCTGTATAAAGGAGAAGGCCTAAATAAGACCGTGATCGGGGACTATCTGGGTGAGAGGTAAGTTGAAGGAGAAGGAGCAGCCTGAACTGGGTCCACCCTCCACATCAGGGTCTGTCTCAGTTGCCTGTGGGCCTGGGGGCACACGTGCTGCTCCCCAGGAATGGTTTGCTCAGTCCCATCCCGTCCTCTCCTCTGCCCTGAGAGGGGAGAGGGGTGCCTGTTCGGGAGCCAGGTGAGGGTCTGTGCTCTCTGGAACTTCGCTCAGGGAGCCACAGCAGAACTGAAGACGGCGCTGCCTCTTCTCCGAACCTCAGAAGGCATCTTCGTCTTCTTTTCGTGTTTGGTCCAGAAATGCACCAGATTTCCTGGTGGTTTTCCTACCCCTGTTCCTTGCGGGTATGAATGAAGGTAGGAAGTTCGTTAATTTTTTTTTTTTTTTTATAAAAATTTTTTTTTTTCAACGTTTATTTATTTTTGGGACAGAGAGAGACAGAGCATGAACGGGGGAGGAGCAGAGAGAGAGGGAGACACAGAATTGGAAACAGGCTCCAGGCTCTGAGCCATCAGCCCAGAGCCCGACGCGGGGCTCGAACTCACGGACCGCGAGATCGTGACCTGGCTGAAGTCGGACGCTTAACCGACTGCGCCACCCAGGCGCCCCAGGAAGTTAGTTAATTTTTTAAATGGTGAGCAGCTGGTCAGATCTACGTTCCCAGCCTTCTCCACTTAAAGGTCTCTTTGATCTGCTTAGCAGAGCAGAGGGCAGAAGTCTAAGGCAGCACAGCCCCCAAATATGCAAAAGCAGGTTCTGGTCAAGGACCAAATGAGCATTTTTAAATAAAAGCCCACTGGTTGCTCAACCAGGGTGGTTTCTGTTTCTAGCTTTTTGAAACGATCAAAGGCGGAAAGCAGAACACTTCCCAACTCATTCTGTGAGGCCACAGTTTAAAAAAACCTACGGGGGCATCTGGCTGGCTCCATTGGTTAAGCATCCGACTTTGGCTCAGGTCATGATCTCACGGTTTGTGGGTTCGAGCCCTGTGTCAGGCTCTGTGCTGACATCTCAGAGCCTGGAGCCTGCTTTGGATTCTGTGTCTCCCTCTCTCTCTGCCCCTACCTTACTTGTGCTGTTTCTCTCTGTCTCTCCTACAGAGGAGTATCTACAACCTAGATAGCAGTGTCTCCTATGACTGTTAGGGCAAAAACCCTCAAGTAAATATTAGTTAATCAAATCCAGCAATATATAAAAATGACCATATATCTGTACTTTCATCCCCATGAATGCAAGGTTAGTGCAGCATACAAAAGTCAAAGTAATATACTGTATCAGTACAATAAAGTGCAAAACCCACATGATCATACCAGTAGATGCTGGAGAGGCATATGACCGCATTCACTGACTCGTGACAAAAGCAGTCAACAAACCAGGAGAAGAAAGGAACTTCCTCGACATGATGTTGGGCACCTGTGACACCCCCAAGTTCACGTCATGCTTTCTACTTAGAGCAAGAACAAGATAAGGTTGACTGCTCTCACCACTTCTCTTCAACATGGTACTGTCAGTTCTAGTTAGGCAGGAAAAAGAAATTAAAAAGCATCTAGTTTGGAAAGTAAGAAATAAAACTTTGCTTGCAGAGGACATAATCACTGTGTAGAAAATCCTGAGGAATCACTAAAAACACTAGAACTAACAAGTTCAGTACGGCTGCAGGTTACAAGACCAGTATGTCAAATTCAATTGTAGTTGTAAATGGTAGCAATGAACAAATTTGGAAGAGACATTAAGAAAACAGCTCCATTTTGTAATAATATTAAAAAGAATAAAACACTTAGGAATAAATTTAACATAGTACAAAATTTTTACTGTGAACTACAAAACATTGAAAAAAAAATGAAAAGGCCTGCATAGATGGAAAGAAAGATATCCCATGTTCATGGATAGGAAGACTTAGTATTGCAAAGAGGACAATACCACCTACATTGATCTATAGATTTAACTCATTCCCTATAAAAACCCAGCTAATTTCTTTGTAGAAGTTGACAAACTCATCCCAAAATTAACGTAGACATTCATGGGAACGAAAGTAGCCACAATCATGAAAAAGAAGAACAAAGTTGCAGAACTCACATTTTTTGACAGACTGAAGCTACAGTAATCAAGATGGGGTGGTACTGGCATAAAGATAGACTTATAGGTCATGGAATAGAATTGAGAACCTAGAAATAAACCCTCACATTTACTGTCTAAAGGATTTTCAGTAAAGATGTCAAGATGGTTCAGCGGGGGAAAGAATGGCTTTTTTTTTTTAATGTTTGTTTTTAGAGAGGGAGGGAGGGAGGGTGGGAGGGATGGAGAGAGGGGGAGACACAGAATCCAAAGCAGTTTCCAGGCTCTGAGCTGTCAGCACAGAGCCCTACGTGGGGCTCGAACCCACAAACTGCGAGATTATGACCTGAGCCGAAGTTGGGCGCTTAAATGACTGAGCCACCTAGGCATCCTAACAATAGTCTTTTCAACCAATGGTCTGATACAGCTGGATGTCCACGTGCGGAAGAATATTACTGGACCACTCACCGTACGCAAAAATTAAAATGGATCAAAGACCTACACATAAGAAGGAAAACTATAGAACGCTTAGAGGAAAACATAGGGGTAAATTTTTGTGACTTTGGATTAGGCAAGAGTTTCTTAGATGTGACTCCAAAAACATAAACAGCAAAAGAAAAATATAGATAAAATGGATATCATCAAACTTGAAAACTCTTGTGCTTCATAGGACCTCATCAAGAATGTGAAGAGGCAGCCCACAGAATGGGAGAAATTTTTTTATAAATCATGTATAAATCCGATAAAGACTTCTATCCAGAATATATGAAGAAGTCTTAACCACTCAATAATAAAAAGACAATTATAAAATGAGCAAAGTCTCTGAATAGATGTTTCTCCCAAGAGGATCCATAAATCAGTTTATGATAAGGTCATAAGGAGAATGGCTAATAAGCACACGATGGGATGGTCAACATCATTAGCTGTCAGGGAGCTGCAGATCAAAACCACAGTGGGATACTACTTGACATCTACTGGGGTGTCTATAATAATAATTTTAAAAGACCGTTAAGATTCTGTGTCTCCCTCTTTCTCTCTGCCACTCCCCTGTTTGCGCTGTGCCCCTCTCTCAAAAATGAACATACGTTAAAAAAAAAAAAAAATGTTGCCAAGGATGTGGAGAAATCAGTCATACGCTGCCAGTTGGATAAAAAGCGGCTGTGGCACTTCCTGAAAATACTAAAGTCGCCGTGTGACCCGGGTTTATACCCAAGAGAAATAAAAACCTATGTGTGCACAAATGCTTGTGCACAAATGTTCATAGCCACCTAATTCTTGATAGCCAAAGAGTGGAAACCGTTCAGATCCATCAACTCAGATATCCCTCAGCTGACGGACGAACACGAGGTGGTATGTCCATACAGTGGGGTATTACGTGGCAGCGAGGAGAAGCAGAGGCCTGATACGGGCCGCAATCTGGACGAACACACTGAGATCGTAAAAGAAGCCAGTCACGAAGACCACGTATTGTGTTCCTCCGTTTATATGGAGCGCTCAGAAGAGGTGAATTCGCGCAGACAAAGAGCAGACCAGTGGTTGCCTGGGGCTGGCAGAGGGCGAGGAGAAGGGGCTGGGGTTTCTTTTTGGGGTGTTAAAAGTATTCAGGAATGGATTGTGGTGATGGTTGCACAGATACACTTGAAACCATCGAATGGTACCCTAGAAATTGGACAGTTGTATGGAGTGGGAATTAGGTTTGAATGGAGCTGCTAAAAAGGACAAAAACAAAGCCAGACCACAAAACCCGATGAGAGACCCCGGGATTGTGGCACCTCCTCGAATCTCAGCTTCCATGAGGGCCTGAGTCTGAGCTCTCCGCCGCTCTCTGGCAGGCATGTGAGATTAACTGCAGAACTTGTGCGAAGTGCAGTCTGGCAATTTCCTGTAGTCTACAAATACTGAGTGCCTGCAGGATTTGAGTTCCAAAAAACGCGAAGTTCTGAGTCCGTGCCAGGCTCTGTTTTAGGCCCATGGGTTGTGTTTAAAAAAAAAAAAAAAAGCATTCGCCCCCTCGGGGAGCTGTAGTCTGCCAGAAGACACAGGCGTCACGTGATAAGCATACTAAATACGAGAACCGTTTCTGTCCTTTGTTGGAAGGTGATGGGGCGGAGTAGAGGCGCTTATAAGGGCTTTGGGTGAGCTGAGGTAGGGGTGTTAGTAGCCGGTTGTGATAGGCTGGTCAGGGTCCTGTCATTGACAACATGATGTTTGTGCAAGGGCAGAGAGGGGACGAGGGTGTTCTGCAGGCAAGTGTTGTGTTGGAGGCCAGCAGGACAGGCAGAGGGTCATGGGTGGGAGCGTGCCTTGCCTAGTGTGTTTGGGGCCGTGTGGCTGGAACAGAGGGAGGGGGAGGGTGACAGAGGTTCTCAGGGTGACGATGGCGCCCTCTGTCCATTCCTGGGGGGACAGGGAAGGACATGGTCTGAGTCACAACTCGAGCCGACCACTCTGGAATAGACTGTTGAGTGGTGGGTGAGCAACAGCAGAAGCAGTGGGGCCAGCAGGGAGTGGCTCCCACCAGGCTGGGGGGAGTGGGGTCGGCGGTGGGGTCGGGGTGAGAAGTGCTCAGGTTCCGGGTTTGAGGTTGAGCTGGGTTTGAGATCGAGCTGGCGGGAAGTTCCGGTGGTGGAGCTACCATCAACAGAGACCAGCAGCAGCTGTGGGCGTGGTCATTGGGGCCGGTTGACCCCTTGGGGGCCTGGGGGGGGGCATCCAGGTGGAAGGTTCAGAGAAGGGGCCCGCAGGAGACAGAAGCCCCAGCGTGGCTGGCTCAGAGGTGGTGTTTAAATCCATGGGGAGTGTGGCTGGAGCTGAAGAGTAGACCCAGGACTGAGCCTCGGGGGCGCCCCTCGAGGGAGGACAAATAGGCAGCTGGAGTAGGGCTTGATTGCCCTCTCTGGTCCCGCCCTTGCCCTCGGGTCTGGAGGCTCCCAGCTCCTTCCCTGGGGGCGTGTGATAACCCCGGCTGTCCTCTTGCCAGGAGGCAGGTGTTGGGACAGTGGGTGGGGGTTTGCCTTTAACGCAGACCCTTGTGGCTCTAACCTGGCTGCCTGCTGCCATTCCTGGGGTGCTCCCACCGGGACCGTGCCCTTTCTGGCACCCTGGTGCCATCTCATCAGGCCATTGGCCAACCCCTGTGGTGTTGGGCCTGCTCCCTGGGCTTTGTCACTGGTGCTCATGGGGCCGTGAGCCCGCTGCTTCCTGGGGCGCTCCATCAGTGCCCCGTGTGCGCGGGACCCCAGGGCCTCAGCGGCTTCCCCCCGGGCGGCCGCTGAGGTCAGGGAAAGGAGGGTAAAGTGCTCTGAGCCTGTGCCGCGCGCAGCCCTGCGGGTGGCTGCCGGGGTTCCCTTTGCTGGTGGCGCTGAGCCACAGCCATTCCTTGTGGTTGACTGATGGCGCACTGGCCTGGCATCCCCGAGGGGAAGGCGGACCCCTGACTTGTGGCTGTGGCCTTGCCGAGGCCACACCGCCCTGCGGCAGCTACAGCGTTTCTCTGCCTGAGGTGTCCTTACTGTCCCTTGTGACCATAACCTGGGGAAGCAGTGTGGAGTGAAATCCCAGTCCGGCGAAGCACGTTGTTGGCCTCTTTCACGTTTATGTAAAAGTTCAGGCCCTTTATTCTCAGGCTTAGTTTGGTTTTAAAAGCTCTTCCAAACTGACCCAGCTTCGGACCCGGTACTGGGCCCCCTCAGCCCACCTGTGAAGCATGGACGCTGTCGGAGGCCACTGCTCAGGAAACTCAGGAGACCACGTGCATCTTGCCCTTTGGGCCCTGTGCTGCCGCAGGGCCTGGGCATGGCTGTGGCAGCCGCCTGGGGTGTCCCGACGGCCTCCCTACCCTGGCCGCACTGACTGTGATGTAAACTAATGTCCTGTCGAGTCCCCTCTGCCCGAAGCCTGAGACCAGACGTGCGGTCACGCCGATCCTGACTTTGAGTTATGCGGCATGAAAAACCACAAACATTTGCTGTAGGAAATGTCTTCCTTTTGAAAGGATTGAAATCCTGTGCAGTGGCCTCGGACCGCATTTGCTTTCTTTCCCAGGGACGATTTCAACATTAAAGTTCTTCAAGCGTTTGTCGAGCTCCATGAGTTTGCTGATCTGAACCTCGTCCAAGCCTTAAGGTAAGTGTTGGAGCATCGGCTGTTCTCGAGAAGGTGGGGGGCAGCTGCAGCCAGAGGCCGGGTGCTCACAGCACAGAGGCCCGCGACAGGCACTCTCGGACCCAGCCGGTGCCTGCCCTGGTGGGACCGCCGGTGTACACTCTGGCCCCAGCCCCTTTGCTCTTCTGTGCTCTCCCCTGGTATTTGACAGTCAGGTGTGCACTTTCTTCCCAGAAAGCTCTGCGGCTCAGTCTCTGTGCCACCTGGGTACAGGCCCGCTTCTTGCTGCATTTGGTCTAAATCAGCAGCCTCGTGGGTGCCTTCCCTGTGCGTGCCCCCCACCCCCCAGGTGTGACAGCAAACCTGTGGATGCTCAGCCATCAGAGGCGGCCCCCTGGTCCCTGTCTTGTCCCGGTAAAGCCAGGTGTCACTGCGTATCAGGCTGAGTGGGGGAGGATGGCCCTCAGACACTCCTGCGTGGCCCTGAGCCACGCTGGCCGCTGCCGTGGACGTGCCCGGCCATCCCTCTGGTTGTGCCCTTGAGGCACCATCCCGTACACTCCGCTCTTCTGCAGCACCGACAGCATCTGTTTCCTTCTCCGGTGCCCCCCGCTGGGGCTCCGATGGCTGTGCACTGAGCCAGGGCCACACAGGCTCCGTCGGGTCTGGCTCCAGCTGGTCAGTCGCAGGCCTAGAGCCGGGGCTTCCGGGTGGGGTCGCCAGCCGGCCCTGTAGTGAGTGGTGCCGGGCTGCCCCCAGCGCCCCAGGTCCCTCTGCCGGCCGCCCTGCTGTCCTGTGTCCCCGCACCCAGCAGCCTTTACCGTGGAAACGCCATCGTCCCCTCCTGTCCATTTCTCCGCAGGCAGTTCCTGTGGAGCTTCCGACTTCCGGGTGAGGCTCAGAAAATCGACCGCATGATGGAGGCGTTCGCGTCCCGCTACTGCCTGTGCAACCCGGGCGTCTTCCAGTCCACAGGTCGGTGAGGCCCGGGTCCCAGCGCCCCACCAGAGCCCTCTGCCCAGGCCCCGCTGGCCTGGCGGACGGCTGAGCGCCCCTGCGCCCTCTGCCCTCTTTCAGACACCTGCTACGTGCTGTCCTTCGCCATCATCATGCTCAACACCAGCCTCCACAACCACAACGTGCGGGACAAGCCCACAGCCGAGCGCTTCGTCACCATGAACCGCGGCATCAACGAAGGAGGAGACCTCCCAGAGGAGCTGCTGCGGGTGAGCCCCCCCCCCGCCCCGGGCCCCCCTGCTTCTGGGCCCCGCACTGGCCCTCACTCCACCGAGCCCGGTGCCTGCCACCCTTGGGACATGGTGCAGATGGGCCCTTTCTCCCCCGCCTGCGTCCCTGAGCTCCCCGTGGCTTGTGTTCCTCACAGAACCTGTACGAGAGCATCAAGAACGAGCCGTTTAAGATCCCGGAGGACGACGGCAACGACCTGACGCACACGTTCTTCAACCCCGACCGCGAGGGCTGGCTCCTGAAGCTGGGTGAGTGGCGGCCGGCGGGCGGGACCCGCGCTCGGAGCCCCCCAGCCCTCGGCAGCCAAGGCCCCCGACCAAAGGCAGAAACGTTAAAGGCGAAGGCCGATGGGCCAAGTCCGCCCGCGGCGGCCGGCCGCTCGCCCCAGACTCGATGGCTGCCGCTTTGAGCCCCGCCCTGTCCGCACGAGGCCATCCTGTCCGTGTCCACGGCGGAGAGTAACGCCCGGGCTGCACGAGCGTCCCAGAAAACTGCTCAGTTAGCATCCAGATACACCCAAGGCAGTTTTCTGCACCAGATGCAGGTGCATTTCCTGCGACAACCTGCGTGCCTCTCTCTTGGTTTGGTGTGGCTGATTTTTGATGCGTGGTTTAAATGTGCCTTCTTGTTTTCCTTCTGCCTGTGGCTCCCACCTTTCTGTTCTGTGACGGGCTGTCCCTGCTTGTTCTGCGTTAGGAGGTACGTACCCAGTGGCTTCCTGCCCTCCCCTGGCTGCTCACTCCTCTCTCGTTCTCTCTCCCCCGTTGGTCTGTGTGAAGCTTTGATTTGTGGCTGCCATTCATCTGACCCATGTGGCTTTGGACTTGCTGGGGTTAGCGTCATGCAGGGTGCAGTGAATGTGACACCCACAGCCCTGGGGTGGCCGGAATGCCAGCCTTTCTGCGCCCGGGAGCGCATGGGGAATGCCACGTGGGAACGAGCTTGCCCCTCTGTGTCTTTAGGGCCCGGGCGGCCACGAGCCTGCTGGTCATCTCCAATTTCGTGCCTCACCGGGTGCCTCTCATACTAACCAAACAGCGCATGTCTGCACCACCCCTGGACAGGGCCTGGGGATGGTCAAAAGGATTCCTAACCATTGACACAGAAATAGAATAGCGTTGATATTCTCTGGGCAGTTTTAGAAATTGGTAGGAGGGTTTTTTTGTTTTCTTTTTACACTGGGCGGGGTGGGGTGGGATCTTGGCCTTTCTGTGACACGTCACAACTGTACGTCATCTGGCCACTCTGAGAGCACATTGTGGGATACCAGGCTTGAGAGAAGTCCGGCGATTTTGTGGTTTTAATCAAGGGGAGGGTAAAGAGGCGTGAAGGCCTGTGAAGGCCATGGCTCCGCCGTTCGGATTTGGGGTCTTGCTCGGACTTTTCTCTGGCTGCGCTGAGGTTTGGGAGAGTTCTGGACCTTGGCCTAGAAACCCAGAGCCATAGCCGTGGACCTGAAGGCCTGAGCCCCCTTTGAGATGCAGCTGACTCTCTGGTCATATCAGTTCTGGGGCCCCCAGGGGAGGCCAGAGCAGGGACGTGTCCAAAACCCCCGCCGCAGCAGCACCCGGGCCCCTCCCGGCCCTGCGTTGCCAGGGAACGCCCCTCGAAGGGCAGTGACGGCACAAGCCCGCCCGGCAGCTGGTGTGGCCTCAGCACCCGTGGGAGACGGACCTGCTTCTAAAGACAGAACAAAACGACAGGCATAAAGGCACACCAGGGCTTGCACCCCAGCCTGTGTCCTGGCTACTCATCTAATCGGGCCACAGAACCCGCGTCCAGAGCACCCTTGGGGGACAGAGCCAGCTGGGTGGTGAGTGGGTGCCGAGGGGCCCCGGGCAGCGGGCTCCTTCCGCGCTCCACCGCCGTGTGCGCATGCGTGAGAGGGGGTGGTCCCGCAGTCACTAAGCTAGTGGTGATTGGTCACCCGCCGGCCAGCCGAGAGACTGCCCGGGCGCCCCCTCCCCAGACGCACAGCAAGCCCGCTGCTGCCTCCCTGTCCCGGATGGCCCCTCTCTTGGCAGAGCTGCAGCCAGACAGTGGACTTCGCAGGGGACTGGTGTCCCCGGAGCCGCTGGGGCCTACACACAGTCCCGCCCGTGGGCTGCCTCCCAGCAGTTCTGACGCTGGCCTGGCCACCAGGGACAGTGGCTGGTGTTGGGCTCTGAGGGCCAAGAAAGCAGTCAATCTGGAAGCCGATGCTGAAGATGGTTGGTTTGGCCAGGGTGCTCTTGCTGCGCTCGGCTCTGGGCCCCCACCCAGCACAGGGCAGACCTAGGCCCGGACCCGGAGGCGCTTGGCCACAGGCCTACAGCACGAGCTAGGAAATGTGTGCTCCGTGCACCCACGCAAATCGGGACGGAGGTCACCTCCTGACCTCCATTGTTTCCCGTCATAAGCTTAGTCTTAGGGCAGGTGGCACTTTTGAAAGGCCTGGATGTTTTGCGGGAGCGTAGGAACATTGTAGTGTTGCTTACGGATCAGCGAAGTGCCTCATAGTCACCGAGTTCTGAGAATGAGGCGGTTGTGTTGAAAACACAGGAACGCGGATCAGAGCTGAACTGTCACGTGGAGTGTGTGTTGCAGGGTGTGCGTGTGCGTGTGCCTGGGAACGGCCATGGAACTAGGAGGAGGTTCACGGCCTGGGGAAGCCAGGCTCCTTTCTGCAGGCGTGCGTGGTGTGGTATGTGTCCCTGTCTCCCGAAGCTCAGCCAGAAACACAGAAGCAGAGGCCGTCTGTTCCCTGCAGCCAAATCTCTGAGCCCCGGGGTGTGACACCAGCCTGCTCTCTGTGCTGCACGGGTACCTGGGATGGGGCTGGGAGGCCCCTTGGCCAGGAGAACTGGACTAGGGATCGGGCTCCCCAAGATGTGCCACTGAACCCCAGGAGCAGCAGGGTAGGAGCCCAGGGGCAAAATGCTGAGAAGCCTGCCTGGCAAAGCTGCTTCTCCTGGGGAGGGGGGGTGGGTCACGGGTTCGCCGGTAGGGCCTCAGGGTGAGCAGAACACATAGGCCGCCACCTAGCGACCCGGTGGCGGGAGCGCAGGGAAGAGGGGGCACCTGACAGATGGACAGCACAGGGAGCCCCTGGGAGGAGTCTCCCACGAATGTGTTCGTTGAGGCTCAGTGGACGGCAGGTGCTGGCGAGAGCGTCGGGGCTCAGGCCAGCATGGTGTGACCTGAAGGAAGGGCCTGGGTGCGGCACACGGTCAGATCCTCCTGACAGGGACCCAAGGGGGGGGGGGGGGCCGCGCCGCCGGGGGGGTGTGTCTGCTGGGGGTTGGGGGGAGCAGCAGCTGGCCCTTCCTTCCCCGCTTGGCTGCGGCTTCCTCCACTGTGCCCGGCGTGCCCCATGCAGCCAGCCTGCCTGAGGCCGTCGGGAGGAGGTCAGGTGTCTGACTGGTGAGGCAGGGGGTGAGGGACCCCAGAGGGGTCTCCCGAGGGCCTGGCCAGTGGCCCTGACTCTCCCCGCACAGCGGGTGGTGTCTTGCCTGCCGGGGTTTCTGCCCACACCAGGGCCAGGACGCTCTCTTGCCTCAGCCCCAGGACGACCTGGGAGCTGGCAAGTGTCCTTTCCTGTCCTTCCACGCCCCGCGCCCCCCATCCCGTGATCCCCTTGTCCTGTCTCCATGCCTGTGTCCCTCAGCCCTCTTGGCACTCCCCCAGATAGAGGTGGTGAGCTAGACCTTGGCTGTCACCTTGGGGAGTGACCAGGCAGGGAGGGTCACTTCTTGTGCCCCTGGATTGCTTGAGTCTGTTACCACGTGCATTGTCTTCTCTCAGGTGTTGTTTTTTAAACTTCATGTCAAAAGTAAGGGCTAGAAATTGAAGCCAGTTCGTGCCAAATATTTAAGGGTAAAAAAGGACTTCCTTTTCCATAGTGAAAGGAGAGTAGGTGCAGATAGATGATGTGTGTGTGTGTGTGTGTGTGCGCGCGCGCGCGCTTCACATGCGTCCCATATCTTGTTAAGAGATTAATTCAATCTAATAATTCCCTGGACCGAGGAGTAATTGATGTTGATGGATCCCAGGGCCACCCAGAGCCCTGAGGTAATGGGATTACGTCCTGGACAGGCCCCGGGGAGCCGCACTGACTTCATCTTGTCATTTCCATGTGGGGAAATTAAGCCCATTCATCATGACTAACTTTTCCCGAAAGCAGGTTTGGAATGCACTTGTTACCTAGGCGGCCCAAGGGGCCACGGTGGGGGTGCATGCGGGGCCCCCAGCAGCACGCCGCGCCCTCCTGTCGCCAGCCGCCGAGAGGGGCCTGCAGGGCCCCCGGCCGCAGGGCTTGGCCAGGACGTGGCCGAGCGTTGGGCGGAGTGTCGAACAGGTTCACCAGGAAGGAAACTAAAGGCCAGGCCTGGCTCCCGATGGCATTTGTGAAAATGGGTTATTTGTAGGCCTCGGGTCGTGTGCCCGCCCCGGGCCCTGGCTCACGAGCTCCTTCCGCTTTTAGGAGGGCGGGTGAAGACCTGGAAGCGGCGCTGGTTCATCCTGACTGACAACTGCCTCTACTACTTCGAGTACACGACGGTGAGTACCGGGCGGGCCGCCCGCCCTCCGTGCCCCCGGCCCCTGCGCCGCCGCCCCGAGCGAGGCTGGCTGTGCGCTCTTCTCTCCTAGGACAAGGAGCCCAGGGGAATCATCCCCCTGGAAAACCTCAGCATCAGGGAGGTGGAAGACCCGCGCAAACCGGTAAGCGGCCCTGCCCTTGGCGCCTCGGCCCGGCGGCGGCCCCCCTCGCGCGCTGACGGCCCTCTGTCTGTCTCGCCAGAACTGTTTCGAGCTTTACAACCCGAGCCACAAAGGCCAGGTCATCAAGGCCTGCAAAACGGAGGCGGACGGCCGAGTGGTGGAGGGCAACCACGTGGTGTACCGGATCTCCGCCCCGAGCCCCGAGGAGAAGGAGGAGTGGATGAAGTCCATCAGGTGCGCGCCGGTCCCGCTCGAGCCCGAAGGCTCCGCGTCCTCGCGGTGCGCGAGCGCGCACGTCCGTACGCCTGCGCGTGCGTGTGTGGGCGTGCGTGCACGTGCGCGCACGCATCTGTGGGAGGGAACGCACGTGTGTACGCGTGCTCGCGCGCTTCCGAGGGCAGGGCCCGCCCTGTGCCCGCAGAGACGCGGAGGCTCGAGCCTGCTCTGCCTGGGGGGCTGCGGGTGCCTTCTTCCCACCTGAGGGTTTCCTCCCCCGCCCCCCCTTCCCCCCCAGAGCGAGCATCAGCAGGGATCCTTTCTATGACATGTTGGCCACGAGGAAGAGGAGGATTGCCAATAAGAAATAGATCTTTCCGGGCCTGAACCGGTGAAAACAGAAGCCAAGACTCCACGACGGAAAGTGACTGGGAGCCTCCCCCCCCCCCCCCCCCCCCCCCAGCGCCTCCGGCCCCGCCTCGGTCTCCCGCCTCCTCTCTGGAGACGGCGCGTGCGCAGTGGGAGCGCCGCCCCGAGCCCCCGAGGAGCGTTCTGTGCGTGGCGGCCGATGTCCAGATGCCCTCCTCCCGGTCCCAGCCCGCGGTGGCACCTGCCGGCTCCTTCGAGGGAACCTCGTGCCAGTCGTGCCGCCCTTGGCTCACCCGTGGCAGCATTCGCCGTTCCAGAAGCCGCTGTTTTATATCTGAACAAGAAAGGAAACGCTACCACTTTTTTATTCAGAGTTTTTTCTCAGATATATAGGATTATAGCTTTTATATGCCTTTTTATACTCTGAAATTATAATGAAGGATACTTACTTTCTAACACTAGTATTTTTAGAATGGCAGCTATAAATGTAACTCGTGGACGCAAGTATATGCTGTGCACTGAAGAAGTCGTCTATACATGCACCTGCCGCCCTGCGTGGGGGGGCGTGGGCGGCTATGTGGGGTGCTTTCGTGGTGGTCCTCGGGGTGGAGGGACGTTTCTGGGCAGGGGCCGGGCTCCAGGGGGCCAGATCCCGGGGGACTCGTCATCAGCTCAGACTCTGTGGCCCCACAGATACTTTCTAAAAAGGCCAATTGTTACAATGTAAGTGCTGGTTCCGAGTGTGAATCCTGTGGCTGCGGTCACACACAGGGGGTGTGTTGAGCCCCGTGAGACCGCCGCTGTGGGACTTTGGCCCCCCAACCAGCAGTTGCGTGTGGGTCAGTGGAACCGTGCGTGGTTCAGACTGAAGGACCGGTCTTCGCTATTTAAAACCTTTCGGCAAAACAGATACTTCTTTTACTGACCTACTAGTTTGACCAGATCTCTTAGCATAATGAATAGATGAGTAACCAGAGCAGATCTTACTCCTCGTTTTTAGAGACTTTAATCTCTTGCCATGAGGACGGAAGGGGCGCGCTGTGGGATGAAGGTGCGTGGCACTTAGGGTCTCCTGTAAACAGCGTGAAAGCCCAGATGCACGCTGGTGGTGGAACTTAAGAAGATCCACCATCAGACGGTTGTCAGGCTGCCGATGATCTAACAGGTGCTCAGGACGTCCGCCCGAGGGAGGACGGGGCTCAGAGCCGGCCGGGGGCGCCGCTGGGCGAGGCTGGGGTGCTGGGCGCTGGGGCGGTGCCTCTGCCTCTTCCGGACGGGGCCGGTGACGGATGCTGCTGGGACCCTCATGGCCACATTCCGGCGGTGGGTCCCCGTGTCTGTGCCCTTTAGAGGTCACGAGCTGTCATGTGCAAAATGAAAGTCCCAGAAAGCAGACCTCGGACCGGACCGTCGGCACCTATGTGAAGATTTTAAGTAGAAGTAACTGCTCTGCGAGTTGCCTTGGTGCTGACACTGACTGGCCGTGGGCCCCTGGCCTCGGCACCACTGACCTTGACGTAGCTTTAAGTCACGCTGGATGCAAAGGGGTCTGGCCCCGGGCCTCTCTGACATGCCTCAAACTGATTTTTTGTTTCCTTCCCAAGCTTTTAGGCTTTGTTACCGTCCTGATACCTCAAATTCGAAACTTTACTTTTGGAGAAAGGCGAGTCCGCATTCTTGAAATGCCTGGCTGGTATATATGCAACTCTGGCCTCCAGTCTTCCACGAAAGCCGATGGCGCCCGGAGCGCGCGCCCGCCGCCCCCACCGTCGCCGACCAGTGGGGCCGCCCGCCCCTCTCCCGGGCTGCCCAGGGCGCCGAGGGATCAGTGGTTGGCGCGGGGGCTGGCGCGCTCCCTCTCTCGGCCCCGGGTAGGCCCCTGGGGATACAGGCTTTCTGTCTTCGGGGTTTGGCCTCTGTAGGGTTGGGAGAAGCGAGCTTTGGGAAACCCCTGTAGGAATTCTCTGGTCGCCGGTGAAGGAGCCTCGCGTGATGGCTCTTTTCCCGGGAACCGTGCAGAGGCCGTGGTGCTTAGAATCTGTCACTTGCGGTCAGTGTTCCGTGAGGTCTCTAATTCCGGGTTTTGCGTGGCAGTATTAACGCGGGGCAAGCCGGCGGTCACCCCGCTACGCCGTCAGGCGAGCCGATGGCCGCGTCTCTCCTCCCTGCCCCCACGTCCTCCCAGTGCTAGCATTTTAGTCCCAACTCTGGCCAAAGACAAACTTCCCTCCGGAGACCAGGGGCAGGAGGCGGAGAAGGGGGTGCTCTGGGCCGAAGACCGCGGCTGCCACGGCCCCGCCGGCCTCCGTTTACCCTCACCCAGGCGAGCGTCAGTGTCTTCGGGATCGCGGCACATCCTGGAACAGCCCTAACGTGGTACCAAACGGAGTCAAAATAGGAGCTATTTATAGATGAAGCAGCATTCAATGCTTCATATAAAGCAATGCATATTTTTAAAAGTTAAAATGCATAGATCTATAGAGATGTGCTTTGCTGAGAAGTTAGGTCTGTTGTAGACCGGAAACCACATGTTGTGATTTCGCATTATTTTTTCTTAGGCATTTCTATTTACGGTAAATATAGTTAATATGTAAATAATGTACATAGAGATTTCCGGAGTGTTTGTTATTCAGTGTATATACCCCCACAACCTGCATGAAGAAATACCCCGTCATCGATATTTTGTTGTATCATTGGAGGGTGTATGGCCGTCAAATTGCAAATACCGTGTTCACAAAATAAAAAAAGGCGTTCAGACAAGACCGTCTGGGACTTGGTTCTTGAAAATAGATTGTGGGGTCCCGCGGCCTGCTCCCTGCCCGTCCTCCAGGCCCAGGAAGGCGGGGAGGGGAGGGGGCAGCTTGGGCTCCAGACGGTTCTGGAACAGGTGAGAAGGGTCTGCTGAGCAAACGGGGAAAAGAGCGGTAAAGAAGACACAAGACGTTGAATTTGCTGCCATTTATATACTATATAAACTTTACATGCTGTGTATTTACAGTGGGGCGAGTGCTTTTTTTAATCTTTAAAAAAACAAAGATCAAACTTTAGACATCTCTGAACAACACAAACTGTATAAACCATACAGATTATTCAGATACAAACTGTATTAAATACAGTTTTCCCCACTCCGTCTCCTGATGCAGGACCAGTGAATTATAAGTGTATCACAGTTTGATAGCATATCCATATTAAAAATAAAATCACAGTATGATTTTGTCTGTAACTAGAAACTTTAAGGGACCAAGCTGACAACTCAGACTCCAATATCATAGTCAAGACAAGAGACACTGTATAAAAAAGTGTTAAGTAATAAAAACATACTGTAGGCTTTACAAATAATGTTTGGATTATACATTCATAATGTAAATACTCATCATAACTGGTAAATCGATTGGAATAGTTCCACAAAGTTCAAAAACAGAACTTGTCTATAAAATACATCTTCAAATCTTGAATACAACTAAAATATGAAGCGAATTAGTTTCTAGTATCAGACATTACAGAAAACAGACTGCTCCCAAGTCTAGTCGAGAGCTCGTGAATCTTTAAATAAGTCTTTAAATTAAATATACACACTGTCAGTTTGTTTGTACTTTTACTAATTCCATGGTTTTCCCGGCTGCTCTCGCACCGGAGGTCTGGCTTGAAGGAGCTTTTCCATGGAATGCGAGCAGTCCACCTGAGTCTGATTAAGCAGCATTGAGATGTTCCAGTCCAGGGCGTCACTGTCCGTGGGATTTATGTACACGCTGTTTACAACGGTCAGCAGTTGTAGAAAGGGTTCGTCCGTTTGGAATAAGGGGAATTAAGAAAAGGTAAAAACTAAAAAACAGTCCTCCATGGTAAAATCTGTACAGTATTTACTAAAGAAGCACCACGCAGATTTGAACAGAGTTATTTCTACATTTATAATTTAAGCTGGGTTGGGGATGGCTTCTGTTGAACACGCTGAATCTGAAAGACAAGAGGCGGCAGGCAGCGGGCGTTAGTACCTCCCGGGGCGGGCGGCGGGCGGCGGGCGGCGGGGCGGCTCCCCCGCCACCACCCCAGTCGGGGCCTGCCTTCCCGCACAGTCCGGGCTCCCTGGGGGAGCGCTTCTTCCCGACCACGGGCCCTCTGCCTTCCGGAAGGGCGGAGAAGGAAGCGGGCTGTTCCGGACGGACGTGCGGAGGGAGCCACCTGCTGGGCCCGAGCCCGGCTGCCGCTAATCCTCTCCGGCCTTAAATCCCCTCTCGCTAGAGAAGAGCCTGATTCCTTAATCAGGCTTCGCTCTTTTCCTTAAGACACACGGACTAATAAGCAGGTTAGTTAACTGCACGTTAATCCTCCGCAGACACTTCAGTGAGATCCGTTTCAAATCCCCCCCGCGGCCTGGGAGCCACACGGGACGACGTCCCCTCTCCGGAGAGAAGGGCACGCTCTCCCGCCTCCCTCGGCTGACGCGGGCCGCCGACCTGCACTACTCTCTCCCCGGGCCGCGCGTCACGCTCCGGGAGCGACCCGCCGGACGCCGTCCGAGTCCCGACCGGTCACGAGGCGCCCCGACCTCGTTCAAATAACGCCGAGTCCTTCCGAAATCAGTGTGATTTCTGGGTGCGCGCGCGCGGACTCGGCGCTCCCGGCCGGGCGCCAGCAGGCGAGCGTGTCCGGCGTGGGGTCCGCCAAGCCCTCGCTCCCGAAGCACGGGGACCGGTGGCCGCGGGTAGGATGGCGATTCCAGGGGGCCGCTCTCCTAGGCCGGCGGGGCAGGCCGGGCGGCGGAAAGGGGCTTCTCCGTCTGTGTGGATTCTGGCGCTTTCCGCTCTCCCTCGTTTTCTTACGACGAGGGGAAGGAGGAGGGAACCGGGTGGCGCCGCCCGGCGAAACGGGGGCCGGACCCGAGGAGGCGGGCCGAGGTCTGAGCGCGGCTCCGCGCGGCGCCGGCCTGGGGGAGCCTCCCGCACCTGCTCCCCGCGGCACTGCCTGGTCCCCGAGGCCCCCAACTCCTCCTCTGCGTCCCCGCGGCGCCTCCACGAGCAATTATGAAACGTACAGATAGAAAACCGCTTACCATAACTAGTGAGTTTTTTGTTTTGAGGCCAAGTTTTCAATCACCTAGAAAGCAAAGATCAGGAAAGAGATTTTAATGACGGTTTTGCAGAATGTTTCGTGCCTGCTGCTGTGTGGGCGCAAGTGATTACAATCAGAACCCCTTCCTGGCGGCTGGGTGCTCGCTGCCCGAAATCCGTCCCCGCACGGGACGAGGACGAGACGAGCCGGCGCGCGCTGTCGCCAAGCCTTCTACTGGAAACAAGACCTTCCGTGATGGCTGAGATGCACCAAAAGCCGTGCCTGTGGGGACGGGGCCCTCTCCGCCCACACCCATCAGCACTGTCCCCGCAGGAGAGAGCAGATCTCAGGCCAAAGAAACCAGGCAGCGTGTCGTGGGGCCGGAAGACGGGAATCTGACAGGTCAAGTTACCAGGAACAGGGGACACGTGGCAGGTGGGCCACAGGGTCTGTCATCCTCAGCCAGAAGACAGGGATGTTTGGCATGGAAGGCCAAGCAGGTGGTCCCTGTCCTTGAAGAGGACACGATGGGACAGGCACGCGGATTCCTCCGTCTGCTCTCCCCGGAAGCGCTGGCCGCACTGCACCAGCCTTCGAGTGCCATCGCCTAGGACACAAAGGGCCGCCGCTCAACACAGAGGTGTGTCGCAGCCCCTAGGGACACACGTGTGGCCCCCAAATGCCAACGGCTCAGGCTTACACTCAACCCGTTTTCCCTCCGGAGCCACCAATGTGTGCTGGCGGCCACCGACCGTGGTCCTCACCAGGCACCTGCAGCCCGGGGTGGGGGGGGGGGGGGGGGGGGGGGTCCGGCAACAGGCAGAACGTCTGGGACGCCGCCCACCACTTCCTCCCAAGTACTAGGCGGTGGTCAGAAGGGACTTGACCCTCACCAGGCCAAGCCCCTTTCCCAAATCACCAAAAGGGTCACGGGACACCGATCTGAAACTCCGTATCACCAACACCTTAAAAAAAGCCCAGGGCAGACAACGGCCCCGCGTCACCGTCTGGCCGGCCACGGCCGCGCTTCTCCGCCCCGAGCCTCCCATGTCCCTCCCGCTGGGACACTGCCTCCCTCACGCTCGGGGCCCATCTGTCCCTCCTTGGTCAACAACCACACCGACCGGGGGCCACTGGAGGGACCGGTCTGCCCTCAAAACACACAACCAAAGGGCCTCTGGGTCACCAAGACGACGCATCAAAGTCCCAAGAGCACACCTCGGGCGTCCGGGGGTTTTTGTACAAAAGGCCGGAGGACAACCGTCTTCCCCTTCGGTTGCCTCCAGCCATTTAAAACCCAGAAAGCCTTTCTTAGCTGGCAGGCCACACGGGGACCAGCGGGGACACCTCGCCCGGCCCGTGGGTCACCTGCACAAACCGGATCGAGGGACGGGGGCGGCTTTAAGTGCGGTGTGAGGACAGAGGGCGGAGACAGCGGTGCAAGGCGGTAAGAATCCAGCCCCCGCGGCGCCCCGGCCCGGGGTGGGGGGAGGGGGGGGAAGCCACGCAGCAGGAGCCAGCGCCCCGCAGTCCGGGTGCCCCGAGAGGCCAGGCGGGCCGACAGCGACAGCGGATGTTCCTAATGACCCGAGCCCTCGAACTGAGTTTAAGCTCGCACTCCGAGGTCTAGAGGTTTAAGAAAGAAAATACCGTGAAAACGTTTCTATCAGAAATGGCTTAGAAACAGAAGTTCTGGTCCTTCAGGAGCCACACACACACCCCCAGAGCCACAACCTCCAGCGGCCTCGTCACAGAGGCTCTGCTGAGCCTGGCTCCACGTCACCGAGGTCCTCCATCAGCACTAAGGGACCGGTCCCGGGTCCCCACACCGCGCCACCGAAGCCCGCGCTCTGCCTGGGAGCCGGGGCTGGACCGGGGCGGCGGGGCTCCTACCGAAGGGTCCACCCTTTCGTGCCACGTGAGGGTCTCTTCCCGCGTGTCAGCAAGAAATCGTTTCTATATTCTTAATTCCAAGTATCGCCTCTTACCCTGGCCACACTCAGACAGAGGACACCTGTCATCCCTGCTTCCCATCCTTAAATGTTTTCTCTTCTCACAGAAAGGCCCAACGCCTTCCAGAGGCAGCCCATCAGTGAGGGGGAAAGCGCCGTCCGTTCTCCGGAAACGGTCAACAGTCTCATGGCTGGCGGCCTTGGGGAGGTGTGGCTCTGAGTCTTTAACAAAGTCCTCGGATTTCCTTGAGTGCCTCTTCTTTTTCTTCTTCTTTTTTTTGTGTCTGTGGAGGTCGGCATCAGAGCACGCGACCGAAAGATCGGAATCCTGCTGATGCCTGCAGAGGAATAAGCCACAACTCAAACCACCACAAAACCAAAACTGCCTCAGACAGGCCTGGTCCTTGGCCTTGCACCCGCCACCGCAGACCCTCGCGCCACACACACACACACACACACACACCCCGGTGAATCCTACCCGACTCTGTGCTGCGCTGCCCGCAGGGGATTTTCAAGTCCCGGGTGTAAAGTCACCAACCCGGACCCCACCTGCCCTGCCTTCCGCTCTGCCCCGGGGCTGAGGTGGTCGGCCACAGGTCCAGAGGAAGGGTTTCGCTAACTTCTCTGAAACCAGTGGCTGAGGGGAAAAAACGCTTTTGCCCGGAGCCTCAGGCACCGAGGAGGGAAGGAGGTCCCCCTAGGGTAAGGGCGGCTGTCTACCTACGGCTCCCGGTGATCCTGCCCCGGGGTCTCCGTCTC